TGGGTGGGTGGGGGGGATAATTTCTGGAACTACACAATACACCTCTTTAGCTTGGGTATAATGTTTTCCCAAGACAGACCATTTTTTAGAGTGTCATTTCTTTGCTTAATGGCTGCATATAAGAAGACACATAATATATGTGGATAGAATTCAAAACAAGATTCTTTTTCATAAGAGAATGGCTTGTGGTCTGAAATGGGGTAATGCTGGTCAAGTCTTCTTCCAACATTTCAATGTCAATATTACATCCATAGTGTGATATTAAACTCAGACATGGATTATGTTTTATATGATTATTTAGAGCATGAGGCATGTGCTATAGACATTAATGAGTTGAGGTGGCATTGTGCCTACACTGGACGAATAGAGACAAGGCTCAGTGAGAGACTCAGACAAGCTGGTAAGTGATTGCAGACAACAGAAGTGCTAAATTTATATTGCTTGATCTCTGTACAAGAATCAGGGTTGTTTTTTTCTATTTCTTCCATCCTTCCTTCTTTCCCTCTTTCCTTCCCTTCTTTTTTAGAACACCTGCATATTCTAGGTAATAAAAACAATCTTCTTTCTTCACTGGCAATTAGAAAGACTGTTTATAATGTTTTTTCCTCTCTTTTTCCCTTTGTCAGTCTAAATTCCAAACAATGTTCAAATGCTTTCCTTTTTCTTCAATAATACCATATCTCCTTTTTCCATCCCTCTTCTCTTTTCTTTTCAATGTAAAATGTTCTTCATTTCTCCTATTTCACACCAACTGATTCTTTCTTCCAGTTTCATCTGTTTCTAGTGCAGTACATAGTAGTATTTGTTCCATCTCATGATCTTCATGATCTGCACAGTCAAGTGCTGCAGTAGACCACTGCCTTGTTCTATCTATGTCTAGCAAAGTGACTTCAGTAGGGTAACTTTTGCATGACTCTTCTTTCTCTTCTTTTATTTCTAATACTTACTCACCACTGTGAAAAACGTTTTTAGCCTTGCTTACTTTCTCCTGTGTTTTGAGTCTTTCTCAGCTCTTTCCTGTTTTATGTTCCCTTTTTTGATCTGAGATGGTAAAACATTACTCCAAAGCAGAAAAGCTCTGGTAATTATAACTGGTATCGTATTCAACTCTAAACCTGAAATTTTCTTTCTTTTTTTTTTTTTGTAGAAAGCAAACATGCTAAACTGTTGCAAGATTTGGAAAACATGCAGAAGCATTGGTAAGTTTCAATGCATTCGGGAATAGTTTCTGCTTAATATGCAGCCCATTAAGCCTTTTTTCTAAAGTCAACTCAGCTTGTTTCATTTGTAAATATAAATTATATATCTGATGTGATTTTATTACTATCTCAGTCCATTAGTGGAAGAAAAGCTTGACTTAGAAGGTGAAGCCATGTCAAGCATCCAGAACAAACAGGATGAGACAGATAATGAATTAAGGTCAACGTTCGAAAGGCTACAGGCCACAGAGATGAAAACTGCTGCTGCACAAGGCAAGGCAGCACAAGAACGAGCACTCATCAAGCAGGATGTTGATGTAGTGAGAAATGAACTCAGTGCTGTTAGGTAATAAATATATAAAAATACATGGGAATAAATAATGGTTCCAGAGAGTGGCTCTTATTCCACTGGATTTAAATAGGATTTTGATAGTTTGATTTAGAAGTTGATTTTTTGCGGGGGAAGGAAAAACTAGAGAACCTGGAGAAAAACCATGAAGTGCAGGAGAGAACCAACAAGGAACTCTACTCACATACGATACAGGTCCCATCTATTGGTGATAGGGGATGTAATAGTGATGCACATGAACTGTACTCCCCTTAATTTTAAATGTTATTTTTCAGTGATGAGCTTGCTCAGTTGAAGATGTATTTCACTTCTAACACTCACACTAAGCATGATATAAGAAACATGCTCAAGGAAAATGCCGAACTACTAGTACAGCTTCGTAAGTAGTCTGTGTTAAACCTTTAGGATACTAGACTTTCATTTAGACCTTTCCTTGTCCCTGTGGTTGGGTGCGTCTGTCTAATGAATCTCCTCAATTACTGGACGAGATCTAAGAAATTAAGAACAGACCACAAAAGTTGAATATTGGGTCATGTAGCACAATGTCATGAGATTGTTTGGCAAAAGAATCTGTTGGGATCATCAGGCTACCACATATTATACACACTAGATTTGATCTTCTCTCATAACTTTATTTAAATGTAAACTTGATAATAATGATTGCCAATTAAAGCCTCTCAAGAATACATTCGGCACACTCACATCACATTATACATCCCTAGCAACATCAGGCTTGTACRTCATCACATGCACAGAAATTCAATCATTTCTCATTGCTTTATTGAGATGTTGTTCAAAAATCTTGAAATTTATTTTTAGAGCGAAGAGAGGAGAGAATCCAGGTTCTAGAAGCAACTCAACAAGACAAAGTAAGATAAAGAAGATAATACTCTAGATAAGATCATTATAATCCAATATTATGCTAATAATGATTATAATTTTGTCTTTGTTTAATAGGTGATGAGGTTACGGGAAAAGATTGTTGAACAAGAAGCAGAACATCACAAACTTGTTGAAGAAAACAATGAACTGAGAACTGAAAAGGAAATTATGGTGAGTGAAAATCAGATTTAACATATCTATATGGCTTCAAAAGTCATCAAGCAACAAATTTTCTTTACAGTCAAAAGTAGTGAGGAAAAATAAATTCATCAATTTATGCAGCATCTAAATTGTGAGTAAATGACGTCATTTACTCAACCCTATTGTTCTTTTAATTTTTAAACCAAAATTTCTTGGTGATAATGTGATTAAAATGCAGAATTCTTGGTAGAGAGTAGTTCTCAAAAGTCATCTATATTCATTGTTACGTTACTTCAACTAGGAATAATTATTAGTTTTCAATTTAAGACCTCAAGCACTTGTCTGGGTAAAAGAAAATTTTCTGTTTTGAATTTTAGAGCAATAATTAAGAAATCAAAAAAATGTGCACATGCTGTGTTCTCTTATAAAGCACATGCTTCCAACCAATCAGAATGGGTGATTTATGATTGTYATTTTATAAATGTATTTATTTGAACAGAAAGTGACCCTGCAAACAGATATCTCTAAGTTAGCTTATCGGAAAAGTAATGGGACTTCAAGAATTAAGAATTTGACGAAACRAAACAAGGAATCCAAAGGCGATATCCTGGAAACAAAGAAAAAAATAGATGTGAGGTAGGTGTAAGAACCATCCATTTATTCATCCCACCCATCCATCCATTTTTTCATCCCATCTATCCATACATTCATTAATTCCATCCCATCAATCCTTCCATCTACATAACCATCCATCAATCCATTTCATCCATTCATCCTTCTATTCAATCCCCATCAATTCCCATCCACCCACCTTCCCATCTGCCCACCTTTCCATCTGCCCACCTTTCCGACTGCCCACCTTTCCATCTGCCCAAATATCCATCCATCTTGCCGTCCATCCATTCATACACACACAACCATCCACCTATGTATATGCCCACATTTCCATCCATCTATACTTCCATACACGTCCATCCATTCATTGTCCTTCTAATTTAGTTTGTTTTTTTCTCTATTTTCTTTTTTTTAATAGCACCAAACAACATGCTTCTGACGACAAAACCATTAACCGAACAAAGCTGGAAATGGACAAAGTTCGTGAGCAACTAATGGTAAGAGCTATAGCTGTTCTCATAATATATATTCATAGCCTGCTGACTAGCAGCTTTGATTCCCACTAAAAGCCCATTTGTTTTTGCATCATTACATTATCCTAGTTAACCTTAATCAACTACCTCACCACAGGTATCCCGAGAAGAGACTAGTAAGGTCGGAGCAGTGCATGCAAGTCTAAGTGAAACTTACATACTACTGAAAGAGGAGACCATGGCAATTGAAGAATCGTTGAAGACAACGGCAGATGCACTGAGAAAACAGCTCAAAGATGAAGCACATGCACGTACAGTTCTCCAGGTGAGTTACCGAAATAGTTTATATTTATTTATAACATTTTGATGCAGTAGAAGGTTTAAGTCGGTCAGTTGGTTAGTCGATAGGTCGGTCGTTCGGTCGATCCTTGGGTCGGTTGTTAGCTTTGGGAAATAAGGAAGTGCGCGCACACACTGTTTGCTCTCATAAAGCAGGCACCCCCAGCCAATCAGAAATCGAAATTTATAGCAGTTATTTGAATAGTCATAATATAATTACTTTGTTTTCGTCTTTCTTAGGCAAGGATTGCAGCAGATGGAGCAGATCTCGTTAAGACAACACAGGACTCCACAAAGAAACGAGAAAAGGTACAATTTCTCGTTCTGCATTTATTATAGCAGATCTAGACCTTGGGTAAGGGAACGCGCGTACGTATATAGTAAGCACACTTGCTTCCTATGTTTTTCATCCAAGATATTGAGCAATGCGATAACAAGGGCGATAGCAAGGGCACATTCAAGGGAGTGGTTTTGGGTACTCCCGACCCATACTATAAACCTTGCTTTGACTAAGTAGGTTTTGAAAAAAAAACTTTGCTCACTATTTCAGGCAACCGTCAGGGCTGATGAAATTGAAAAGCTGGTCAACCATGTTAAAGAGCAGGTATGAGGGATGACAATAAACTGCTGACTAAGTAGTTTTTCCTGGCGTATGATTATGACAAATCATACAAGCTGTAGTGCGCGTTTTTACTTCTCAATCGATCAGACTTCTTGTACCGCCAATATGCGTGTGCAATATACATGTCCAATAATGCGTTTGCGATATGCATGTGCAATAATGCATTTGCGATATACATGTGCAATAATGCATTTGCGATATGCATGTGAGATATACATGTGCAATAATGCATTTGCAACAATTAAGGTACCGTGCCGTGTGCGATTAAACAATGTTTACTATGAAATCTTATTTAACCATTTATTTATACGTTAAATATTCTCGACTACCTCCTTTTAGGTATCGAAATTGGAAAAAATGCATAACGAAAGATTACATGTAAGTTGAAGTTTTCAAGAAAAAATAATATAATTACTCAAAGAAACTGGCTGAATTAGTATAATCAATGTCTGAAGAGTATCAGAAAGTAATGTGAATTTTCTTTTCTGTCTCAGACTATCTCAGAGTTGGACAAAATCCTGGGCAAGGTTGCCATACAGCACGACGATATGGAGACGAGGATCACTAAAGAAATAACGGATCTTAAACCAAAAGAAGAGGAATCGAAGGTTAGTTTTCATTGTTGTATTCTCTTGTGGTGAGCTGTTAAAATCAATCGACCTAATCACTGTAACAAAGCCCCCTGGACAACCCATGATGCCTTGCGATCCAAGATGGCCGCCGTATCGTCTAAGCAGTCCATCCTGACCGGTTTTTCTACTATTGTCACATAGAAAGAAAACATGAACTTGTCCAAGAAGATCGACCACATGACTTGGAAAACTGAAATGATGGAGAAAAAAATGCAAGATATGGCATCTTCCAGTGTTATGATGAACAAAGCCATAGCAAGCACATCCGAAACCATCAATGATCTCAAGTAAGAATYGTTTAACACAAATTTACAGGATGTAAATTATCCCTTTTCGATGGGCAGACATTCGCGGGGTTGTGGAAACAAGCTATTTTTTTATGGACGTTGTTGTTATTTCAGTGAAGAGTTAACTGAGCTGAATATCCAGCTTGAAACAGGAAGTGAAACTGAACAAGACTTGAAAGCATCGTTAGGCCAAGCAGAAGGTAGGGTGTTGTTTAGTGATGGGCAAAGCCAATTGACTGTCGAATAGGCCATTCTCGCGCGGCCACCCACCACTCTAGACCCCAGGGCCCTGTCATTCTCACTGCGCATGCTTAACGAAATGCCAGAGGTTTCATAATTGTCATCTAATATGGCGGCAAATAGTCACGTGACCTTTTTGTAGCAAACGCCATAACTGGTGCATACTTAAATGATAAAAGGGTGAATTTTACACCGTGAAAAGATGAAAAACTTACCGACGTTTCGGACGCTAGTCCTTCGTCGGAGTAATATGAGTATTGAAGGACTAGCGTCCGAAACGTCAGGAAGTTTTTTCATCTTTTCACGGGTGTATAATTTACCTTTTTATCATTATTGTTTCATTAGAAACACCGACGCAGCTCACACTAGTTTTTAGCTAGTTATCCCTTCTGGTACATATTTAGATTTCCTTTATATGTTTTTAGAGAGAATCATGCGGGCTAAAGAAGATCACGAACAGCACATGGTTCAGAGACAATTAGTCCTTGAGAACAATCAGGTATTATGCACTGAGCCATTTACTACTATTACTGGGAGAAAAAAAGACCGAGAAAAAAACCTTAGGGACTAGAGGCTTTGCACTATCACGTGATGGCAGCCATGACAGGAGGCAGGAACAATTGAATCTGATCTAATCTGATTTACATAAGAAAAAATTCAGTTTCCCAGGGACAAAAAGGCTCTATTGTTATGCCTTCTGTCATGGCAGGAAATCTGCAAAGCCTCTGGTCCCTAAGGTTTTTTCTCGGTCGTTTTTTCTCCCAGTAATAGTAGTAAATGGCTCAGGGGAAAAAAGGCTCTATTGTTATGCCCTCTATCATGGCTGCCATCATGTGATGGTGCAAAGCCTTTATAGAAATATTTCAATACACCGCGCAAGTAGCACTCAAATGGTTTGTTTGTGCTATTGCTATATCACAAGTCGTCTCCGATCGGGCAGCAGACTATCGCAGTAGTATTATGCATGCTGGGAACGATAGGACTCACAATTAATGTTTATTATAGACTGTGAGCAGCTCAGGAAGCAGTTAGTGCCCTAGTATGGGCTTCAGACCCCTCCCCCCGGGGGATATCAGATCGAAGCAAACATCAAATAGAGTTAGAGAAAGGGAAATGGATGGGATGCTTGCAGTCTATGTTTGTTAAGGAAAATGCTTTGTGTTCCTAAGCTTGCTTGTCTCGTGCTCTACAGCTCCCAGCTTGTTTATATTACAATACAGAGACATGTGCGCGCGTGTTATATTCCTTGGAGATCTACTGAGAGGAAGGTGTGTTAATGACAAGTTTTTTTTGTTCATACTAGAGAGGAGTACAGACTTCACTAGAAAGAAACAAGCTCCTGGCAGTGCAGTATCAGCGCGCACAAAAGGAATATCTGAATAGAAAAGCTGCTTTGATGAGAGAGTTTGAAAAACGAGTTTACGATGAAGACAGCGTCAAAGATCATAGACAGGTAACGTTAACACCTTCTTCATGGGATACCTGTGGTGCTCATCCGACTCGCTTTCCTGCGCGGAAGGTTTGCCTTCTGAATCAGCATTTCCAGCAATTTTAAAATTTCTTCCTTTAAAACCACTGGTGAAACCTTAAATATAATATTTATATATTTAATAATTATTTGTATATTGGTTGATTGGTTAGTCCGTCCGTCCGTCCGTCCGTCCGTCCGTCTGTCTGTCTGTCTGTCTGTCTGTCCGTCTGCCTTCTTGTTTGTCTGTCTGTCTGTCTGCCTCATAGCAGTTATTTCATTCTCTTGGTAACTATCGCAAACCATCTATACTAATAAATGTATTTCTTTATACTATACAGTTGACAGTCCTTCAGGGACGTATGCACGAAGCTTTGCAGTACTACTACAAATTACGAGGTCTAGAAACCAGAGCAGGCATCGCCCAGTTTGAACTTGAATCAGCTAAGAATGGCGACAAGCTTATCTGGCTACAGACAGAGATGATGAAGGTCATTGAAAACATCAGTCGGTTCCTAGAGGCCAATAATGCTGCTCATGAAGTCATATCATTCGAAGCGGCCAAAATTGCTGAAACTCCTCCTGGCCGATCACTAGTCTCTTAGCTAGGTCGGTGAGTGTGCAGAGTTAGATGAGAGCTAGATATAGAATGATAGCCTTATAGGGACAACGTTTTCTGTTTGTCTATACCCCTCTATACTTGTAAATAGTATGAATACAGAATACCTGCAAGGTGTATAGGAATGTATATAACTGTAACTATATAAATGTTGAAGTAGAAACAATAAAGAATAATACCAGACAAAGTTTATGAAAATTCCATATCGTTATGACCTTTCGCTGATTGCATTCACATCACCCATAGTGCATTTCGGGCTTGGTATGGAACAAAGCCTTCACGAACCAGTTTTGAAATAGCTGTATCTGCTTTACACGATATCAGTTCATTTACGTTGACGAATCAATCATTTGCGCTCGCTATTCGGAAGCTCCGCTTGTGTTATATGAACAACAAAATGCCAAATAATGCTATATTTTTTCAAAGTAATCATGAGTAGCAATAATTTACAAGCAAAGAAGACAGGCAAGGGGGTAAGGATATGAAAGAAAAAGATGTAAAAATAAATTAGGAATAGTCGTATTCTGGTTTTTTTTGAAATTTTTTTGTGATTTTGCTTTTTCCTGTGCTTTTTTAATTAATATTGATAAGTCACGCTCTTTGACTTGAGTCACGCTCTTTGATTTGAGTCACGCTCTTTGACTTGAGTCACGCTCTACCGCCTTCGACATTGAAATGCAAATTATAGTCTGTTGCTAGCAACGCCAGCTGACCGTCATGTTACAAAAACAGCACGCTGTTTGTGAATAGTTACCAACAAAATTCCAAAGACAACAAGATCTTGACTTTATTTATCTAAAATACTGCCTGCAAAAACTTAAAAATCGAAGCGAAAATGCAGAAACTCACTCTTTTAACCACAAACATGGACATGTACAAGCATCCAAGACATGTTCCAGGGTAAGTTGAGTCACTCRTGTGTGTTTGGATAAAAATATGACAACATGTATTAATACAAACATGTTTTTTTCTGTCTAAAATATTGATTCACTTATTGCCACTGCAAAGTATTTAATCAGTTAATTTTTTTGAGGTAATGAAATAACATTGTTGAAAATCAGAATTTTTGGTAACTATGGTTTCGTGTCGTTAGACTATCGGCATACGACTAAATGGATGTGCAATATAATCTGTTGAGCAATCGTGATATTGGTGAAGAATTAAATTTTCCATTGAAATGTTAAATGCTTTCCACGTCTCCGAAAAACATGGCTATCTTTTTTTGAACGCTGTTTTTTATTTTATGTGAATATGATAAGTCAAACTTTTTCACCAAATTTAAGTGTAATATCAATCGCTTTGAATTTTAATATCAAACTTCTGTACCGGCTTCTACTTAAATTTAAATATCATTTCATTGGATTCTCTTTTCTGATTTTTCTAATAAAAATTTTAGCTTTCCCTTCGTTCACTACATATATCTCAGACGCAAAGTTTAATTACTTTTGACAGTATACAAATTTATGTTTTTAGTATTTYGCCCATGGGGGGAGAGGGAAGGACAACTTTGGTTTCCCAGAATTTATGTATGCTTCAAAATAAAAAATACCAGATTCTCATAGGTGAATCAAATATCTTGGATGTGAAATTATAAGTCATTTTAATTTGAGATACATGTGAATCATTACCAAGTGTTAAGGGCGCTCGACACACTAGCACTAATAAAATCTTCCCTTGTACAGTTACCTAGGTTACACGCCGACCATCAAATATAAGTACGGAGATACATTCGGCAATACAACAGCCCAGTGGTTCAACGACTACAGACAAGACACGCTAAAAACAAGCAAAGAACGCATGGGCAGAGGAGGAGATAAAAACATTCCCTTCCCTACCTACTACACCAAAAATCCTGATCACGTGATCGGTGCACGGACCACATCACGTGACCGGTGGTTAGCAGCTCCTAAATATAAACTGTTTAATGTTGATGAGAGAGGTGTGACGATTAATAAATTTGATATGGTAAGTATCAAGTCCAACACCCTCCCACTTCTCCCCCTCCCACTCCCCCCTTCCCCAAATGTTTCCAAATTTGATTTTCGAAACTTGGTTAAAGTTCTGAATCAATTTGTTGAATTGTAGAACGCCCAGCATTATCGAGAACACTACAGAGATCGTACAGAAACCGTACCACCTGTTAATGTCTTCATCTTATCCAAGATATCACACGATACGGAACCCCCATTATATATTAAGTAAGTAGATATATATATATATAACGTACTTTTACCATGTGAGGTTTGTGCGCGCTACGGCAGTACACCCTGTCGTCGGGGTTTCGATACCCGGACTCGCTGAGTTGAGCTCTGTGTTGGTTCCTCCTGTGCGCGCGATATTTTTCCAAGTTCCAACCTTTCACACTAGCTAGGCTCATGTCATTAGATAATGCCTCATTACTTTTGTTTGTTTACAGAGAAGGAAAGATATCTGATCATCGAAAAGCAGTCGCGTTTGCAAACCACGTCTACAGAACGATGAAAACAAAACCCTTAGCGGATTCATCTGTAGAAACTCGAAGAATACGAGATGTTTTCTTCGAACGAAGATAACCTAGAAAATTTGCGTGGCATAAAAGAAATAATATTCAAGAGAATGGGAAATAACCGAAAAACGGCAAAAACTGAACCAAGTAAAACGGGATGCTAAATTGTTTTAAACTTGAAAAGGTTTTGTCACAAGAGAAAAGCTCTCAAAGAAAATCTTTTTTGAAAGTATTGCAACTTTTTTTCATTCCTGAATAAAAATGTATTTGTTTAGTCTTAGGTTGGGTACACACAGCACCGTCGTACCCAAGCTAGACCACAATGCACCATGTTCGCTAACTCAAAGTCATTCTATTGGCAGATTTTTATGCGAAATGTGATTGGATGGACGTACTACAGTGAAAAACTGGAGTCCTCTGGCTACATTTGTAGCCATTCCGATAATCTAAACAATTAATAAGAACAGCTTGGAAAAATTAATATAAAATAAACTGTTTTATAATATGTTTTATTTTCTCTTGGTAATATTGTAAAGAAGATTTCAATGGAGACTTGATTTATTTGTTAAGAATAAAAAATATGGTGTGAAATATTAAGAGTGTTTTTGAAAATAAAATGAAGTGATGCAAAAGGTTGTGTCTTGTCATTCAATTTAACTTAGGGATAACACAGGGAGCCCAACCTTGGTTTTAGTGTTACATTTAGAAAATTAGAGATAAATCAAATTCAAATACAATCTTTGGCAATTTGAGTGTTGATTTTCAAAATATATGATACTATAATCGTCTAAAGAAAATTATTAATTTTCTTGGTTCATCACTAAATCTAAAATTGGGCTACCTGTGGAAATTCTTGCTAAAATTTATAATCCTATTCTTTTTTTTTTTTCTTTTTCTTTTCTCTTTCTTTTTTTCTTCTTTAAATTACATAAAAATATCTATCTATTTCTTAGAAGATCTTTCTTTTCCCCCCGAGACTATAAAAAGTGATGATAGCTTTCCTTTTGACCGGAAGTCATTTTATTAAGTCACGCAATCTTATCGTGACAAACTAAACACAAGTTGCTAAAAATAACTTTCATGACGTATTTTTCAAAATTACCCATGAGTCCCAGTTCATAATCCAAAAAAATAGAGTAAAGAATATAGAATCTTTATCAAATTTATTCTTCAATTTAGAGCAATATTTTACGATGTTTTCGGGTATTTCAAGCGGCCAGTCGTCGCAGCGAGGTAAACTATACGTTGTTTTAAGATTTGAGGCAGATTTTGATGTTAAATAAGGCTTGAAAACAGGTTTTCTTTTACTGTAGTTGTCAAGTGCAGGACTAGCCTCTGCCCTTTACTTATCTGTTCTATTCCTACTTGTTAATTCTTTATCTTTTTCTCTCCTATAAGCAATGAGGCCAGAACTTTTCGAGGTAAGTTATATCTCATGGGACGTAGTTATCTGAGACTTGCTTAGGAAGCTTAGAGTGTGGGCTTTATATTAATATGTACGTTTAGTTGGACTCCACATTTATTTTTTTTATATTTTGAATGGCAGGAGGTGAAGCTGTATAAAAATGCCCGAGAAAGAGAAACGTAAGTAATTCTAGTAGTATAACAGTATCTGAAAGAATAGTTACAGTAATATGCTGTACGAGGAAACATACTGTACACTGAAATCCATACCTCTACCACAAGGGGAGGAGGGAGAGGAGTATGTTGTTAGAGTCCCATCCCCCCACCCCCCCCCAAAAAGAAAGAGTTTCCTTTGGAAGTACTATAAGATCCAAGTACACAGCTTGCACCCTCCAAACCATGCAAGTTATGGATATTTTCTAGATTTGTTTGTTCACATAAATCAATCTTCCCTGACATTTATTTAATTTACATATCAGGTATGACAACATGGCAGATTTGTTTTCAATCATTAACACTCTTCAGTGTTTGGAAAAAGCATACATACGTGACGCAGTCACACCTAAAGAGTAAGTTGACCTGTTTCATAACCAGCTTTGAGGTGCTAAATGTAGCCTTCCAATTAAAGACCCATTGCCACTTACCGTGATGCATCACAATTTGTTTACATTTTGAATCGTTTCACCACTGAAAAAACAATTCCAACCTTTTGAATAAACTCTTAGATAGTCCCTAAGGCCGTAAAATGATGTAAAAGAATCATTTTTGTGCCTTAGTGCTATGTCGGAAAAGGATTTAATATGACGTTATTATTCAATATATGAATCTTTGAATTTTATGGACCACGAAATTCATCTGTGACTGCGGTGCATCACGGTAAGTGGCAATGGGTCTAACATTTCAATGAGGGTTCTGAAGGGGTAAAATGGAAACTGGGATTCACCTTTTTGGACTGGGAAAATGGGATTTTATGCACTAGGAATGGGATTCACAAACAAAATCACAATAATAAATAGGATTGAGATTCAAGCAAAACATAGGCTGTGACTATGGGATTTGGTCAAAATGGGGGCTGGGAAATGTGATAAGGTTCCCTACTTTAGGAACCTCTTCAAAAAGCAGGAACATTTTCTTGACATAGCTGATGCCTACTTGAAGGGGGGGGGGGGGGGGGGGGGGAATTAACTTAGTTGCTACGTTATTGAAATTAAAGATTTTTAGGAATATTTGGATATCCAATCTGTGCCTTAACATTACCATGCTTAACATTTTGTCAACAGGTACACTGCGGCATGTTCCAAACTTCTGGTACAATATAAAGTAAGTATATATAAACTGAAGATATAGAAAATACATAACATTAATTTACAGTCTATTCATCAATGCTGGATTAAAGATTCTCTCTATTATTGGTCTGTTTCAGGAACATAGGGAGGCGCGATCAAAGGGAGGGCAATGCAACATTTACCCCGCTAATACATACACATACTTCATCTTATGAGTTTCCTGCCATATTTACGGGAATCCCACATAAATTAATGAAATCTGGCACCAATATCCTATAAGGAACAATACCTCTCTTGAATCTTTTAAAACTGAACTTAAGACTTATTTATTTAGACTTGCTTATGATTTGTAATCTGTGTTTGTATTGTATTTATTTATTATTTTTTACAGCRCCTAGAACCGGCTTGTATAGGCGCTTTACAAGCCTCTTTATATTATGTATTATTATTATTATTAAGGTATCACATGCAAAGCAGTGGCTTATAGTCATAGCAAAAAATAAATAAATAAAGTGAATAGGAATGAGACTTATTATCTTTCACAAAGAAGGAAAGGTTTATGATTTTTAGTCAAACTTAGAGTCCAGCCACCCCTGCCTTGTTTGTAAACTTTTGCACATATTCTTGACTAATTTTAATTGATGTTTTTAGGCAGCTTTCAGACTTGTCCAATCAGCTGAATTTCCCACAATAGAATCGTTTATGAAGAAATTTAGAGTGAGTAACTTGATATATACCGTAGTCTTTTCTTAGGGATTTTCGCATTCAGCTCTAGTATACGGTTCTAGCCTACTGATCTAAGACTGATCCAAATCTGATGCTATTTTCCAGCTTGATTGTCCTGCGGCATTAGAGAGAATAAATGATGGTCGTCCGATCACCATCAAAGATGACAAAGGCAGTACTAGCAAGGCTATTGCCGACACAGTATCTGTATGTATATTTTCTGACATTAATAAATTCAGTATGACAACTATGTTTCTTAATTAAGTAATTAATTTACATTAATATCCACCTCTTCAGCTTTTTATTACAATAATGGACAAACTGAGACTTCAAATAAGAGCTGTTGATGAGGTAAGTTTGTTAGGTCTGAAAATAGATTTGAATCTCTTCCAAATGTTTTGTCAAAACTGTAAATTCTAATTCAAATGAAATAAGGCAGTAAATAGACCCTTTACTTTGAGTGTAATGTTTTCCTAACTCAGACCACATGCAATTCCCTAGAGTATAATTTCCTTGTTTAATGGTTGTGCAGGAGAATACGCATGAATATGGATACAGCTAAAACTAAGAAACTTATTTTCAGGGGAATAAAACATGGTCTGAAATGGAAAAACATTACGCCCCAAGTAGAGATCTATTGAGTTAGATTTTACAGTTTTGTCACAAAGGATGGAGGGAAAGAGTAGACAGGATGTCCTTTGCCTTCCCCCTATTTCCTTGCATGGTATGGGTCACCCACAGTATACGTAAAAGTACTTATGATTACTTAATATATTATTTGTTTTAAAGGTGCAACCAGATCTAAGAGATCTGATGGATACAATGAACAGTATGTCAAGCTTGCCTGATGACTTTGAAGGAAAAGATAAAGTTAACACCTGGTTAGTTGGAAAATAGCGCAGACACTGGTACCACTTTTACAAAATTAACCAATTAGATCACAATATAGAGTGCAAGCTGTGGCCAATCAGGGAAGAGCAAAATCAGTATCACATTGACCTTAGTAGGCCAATCACATTGTTTTATTACCACAGTAAAGTTGATATAAACTTGATCACTATGTCGCTTAAGATTGGCTGAAGCTGGAATGCTTTGTTTTCATCCCGGGTGGGGGTACTCTTGCCTGTTTAGGGTAGGGATGTGCAGCTGAGCCCTCTGAACCCTGACCCTGTTCCAGTGTAAAATCGCTGAAATTCATACCCTGTTCCAGAGCAAGACTGCTGAAAACCATACCCAGTCGTTACTGTATTGTGAAAATAGATACCCTGTTCTAGAGAGGAGAGAGCGCGATTTCATATACCCTGTCCCAGAGCGAGCGCAATTTTATATACCCTGTTCCAGAGTAAAAATCGCTGAAAACCATACCGGCAGCACGTACCTGTATCCTGTATAGCAAATAAAGGGGATTACCCCCCCCCCCCCAGGGTTTTCATCCTCTTTTTATGATTGGTTAACTTAGTAAGTGGTCTTAGTGTGTCTTAACTGTAATGTCATCATTTTAAAATTTGTTTAAGGTACCAAACTCTCAATGGAATGAAAGCAAGTGATGAACTCACTGATGAGCARGTGCGACAGATGCTATACGACCTAGAGCAAGCTTATAACTCATTTAGCAGGTCATTACAGCACACATGAACTGCTTTAACACAATATCAACAAATTTGAGGTAGAAATTTAATGTTATTTTGCACAATAAGGGATATTGTGAGAAAAGATTGTATATATATTTCACGGAACCACCACATTCTATTTCATTTATCTACAGGCAAAAGTCTTCGTTTTACTGTTTACTTCATATACTCTAGTATTAGTGCTTTAAAGAACTTATCTACAGTGATTAATTACTTATAAATAACAAATAATAAATAATTTTAGACACATTGGGTACTTAAAATAAATAATTTGTACATTTTATAGCAAGTTACTATTTAATAGTTTTACATCATAAGTTTTGTGTATTATGCATCAATCTATACATGTTTACATACGTCACGTTTTTGTTTTCCCATTTCAAACCACTTGAGAACAAGATTCTTTGATTGCTTGCATTTTCATCTCATAGCTTAGAAAGCTTAGAAACATTCGCAAGATTTTGTTTGAATTTCTATAGATTTCCGGTTAAGAGTCTTTTAAAAAATTATACAATCAAAAGAAATCAATTCCACTTATTCACATAACTCATAAGACATAAAAGAGACTAGACAGGTACTTATATCCATCGACCATTGCGTATCTTAACTGTAACATATGTGTCAGTCAGGAAGCTGGTAGAAATTGTTGACAAAGCCTGCATTTCTGCTTTAAAACCTTTTGTCATCATGATCTCCACCTAGAAATGTATGTCAATCATTCATATTATATCAATCCATTAAGAACAATAGATTAATTCATAACCTTTCGTCTGGTTACTTTTGACGCTTGACAGGATCAGATTATTTTCATTTCATTCATTTCTCATTCAAGGGGTCATCCTTGCCTCTCTTGTGGAAGGGAAAAGAATTCCCAAGGGGGCGAGAGAGGTTAAAAAAGATGATTCTAAATTGTTTAAAAATATATCATTACAATCCCCCTGCCCCCCCTCTCCCAAAAATAATTTGAATTTCTGAGAGATGGGGAGGGTGCACTGTAGTTGCAGAAGTAGCCATATTTTTTAATGGATGGGGGGGGGGGGGGGGGGGGGGGGGTAATATATTTTCTGTTATTGGGAAACATCCAATCCCTTACCTTTGGGCCAAGTGATTTGAAATGTCTAAGGGAAGGATCTGAGAAGCATATATTGTGTAGTTCCAGACAACATACATGTACATCCCTTTCCCACAGAGAAAGATTAGTGAAAGTCTTCAGAATCATTTTAGAATTTACTTTGTGAAATTCCCTATGGGAGTTGAAGGAATTAGAGATAAAAGTATAGATATTTTATTCCTTCACTACATACAATATGTTTGGAAGACTAAAATTTATTACCTCTTGTTTCCATGAGGGCTGGGACTTCATAAAAGGCCTTTCTAATAGTGACTGACATTTTTGGCGATCTCGAGAACTTAGAGGAATTCTTACGTGTTCTGAAATAGACAGTCTTAAAAACAAAGACTAGTAGTGAAAATGACAGAATAATATTACGTAGCAGAGTACAGCTTTGGTTGCGCTTACTGTTTAAATATTGGAAACAGAAAAAACATGTCTTGTTGCAATATAGAAATATTGCAACAAGAGAGAAAAAGTTACCTTAGATAAATTCGAACTCTGATCTCTGCATTTCCTGTGCTAATTACTACCTAGCAGCAAAATGACAGCTGTCAATCATACCTTTCAATATCACTAGGTAACACCCCTAACCATTGGATTACTGGAACAGTAATGTTGCAAGCATCAAAACTCAAAGCCTGCAATGGAAGGCATTTTTTGGCTTGTTATAAGTTAATAACTGCTATTAATTAATAATAATGATTAATCAAACTAATACCTTACCTTTGAGCCATACTTATATACACAAAGGATTTCAATTCCTGGTAATGAACAGTTAAATGATTATTTTTGATTAAGATTATTTTTGTAGCTTATATACTTAGCTGTAAGAACTAATTTTAACTGTAAAGACTTCAGCATATTTGAAGTTGACATAGTACCTACCATGTGGGTCTGCATCAACTAGACCCAAAATAGGGATGCTTAGTGTGGTCCATAACATATGTAGCATTTGCCGAGTGTTTACATCAGGGTAGCCTTTTCCCTGTGGGGTGCAATTAAAAAAAACTAAGTTCTGGAACTTGAGTAGAAGCATGAATGATGTGGACTACCACCTCTTACTACTGTGATGATAAGTTTTCTTGGGCATAATCTTTGTATATTAAGCATTTCACCATATGAGTGAGATTACTTGTTAGTTGATCTCCCTGTGCTTTGAGAGTTTTTCTGTAGGAATATCTGGTTTTTATCCTGCTAATTCAAAACTTCCAAATTCAAGTCAATCAAGTAAACATGTCCACTGGTTTTCTAGCTGCAGAGCATTGTTCCTTTTGCAAAATTAACAGATCATTATTTTTGTAATGTCAATCAAGATGAAGGCAGATTACCGTGATTACTATACAGGGCTTCAACTTTTCCAACAAGCCATCATTCATTAGTCTCTGAAATGAAGCTTCTTTTTCAACCACAATGACTACTTTGGCATCAGAATAAATATCTAGCATTGACAGTCAAGGATACAGAAACAGCTGGAAAATAAAATTTTCAAAAGATATCTGTTTCCCCTGCCCCAAAGATGTTTAAAAAATTATTTTCATAGTTGCTAAATAATTGCTAAAGAACAACAGCTAGTTTAAACCTTGTATCTTTTTTTTTTTTTTTTTGAGAAAGGATACCAGTTATTCCATTGACATGAGAGGAAACGACAACACCCTGTTGAAAAACACCAAATTATAAAAAAGTGATTATCATAAATTTTCCATTCTACATTTATTGTTAAAATAGACCCATTCAACTTAGATGTCATGTTTTCACATTTCAGACCAYGTGTCATTCCCTAGAGTATCATTTCTTTGTTTAAGGGTTGCGCATGAGAAGGCACATGAATATAGATATTACTCAAACAAAGAATCTTATTCTCAAGAGAATGGTATATGGTCTGAAATGGGAAAACATGAAGTCCAAATGAATGGGTATTTTAGTAAATAGAAACCATTTATTTTTATTACTCACAGAGTTTTGATTCCTGCAGTCAGTATAAGTGCCGTCATACTCTCTGTATCTCAAATCACCAGCAATCAATCCTGAAATAGTTAAAACACAAGATACATTACAATAACTGCTGAGAGGTGTATGATACCCTCTTAAGGGATAGGAGCACCCTTAAGAGTGGGGGATTTGTTTGGAAAATAATAGAATAATATACATATAAATCATTATAAGACTAAAAGTGAGGGAGCTTAGATTTGAAAATTTAAAAGAATGGTATGTATAAGACTAAAGTGGTGGGGGGGAGGTACCCATGCTCCTCTGTAGCCCTTTTCTTTTTCATAACAGTATCAATCGTCCCCAAAATATTGTGTTCAGTTTCAGAAACTTACCTTTTGAAGTTGCCAGCTGAAGTTAAATAAATAAACAAAACAATTTTAGTACATTTTTATAGTTGATGGTAATCAGAAGTAGGATTTCCTAGATTCTATGCATACTTACCACATGCAAACAATGCCGAGGAACTTTCAACATACAAGATATATTTTCTACAATTTCGTCGACTACACTTTGGTTTCCATAAAACATAACATCAGAATAGTATACATCCCTGAAATTAATAGATATTTTTAGAATACTGTAAACTTGGCATTTTGGTCAGGAGGCTTTAGCCCTCCTCACTTTTTGAGAGAAATAACATAATTTTGGCCTAATTTGAGTTCCATTATGAAGAAGAAAAAAACAGAGACTACCCCCCCCCCCCTCCCCTACTTTCAAAAGTGCTTCTCATAAAGCCTTCCTCACTTTATAAACTGTACTCCATCATCTCTGTTGCACCAATCTCTCTTAGATATGATATTTTCATTTACCAACTTACCTCTTAGTTGCAAACTTATTTTCTTGTAGAAGATTATGACAAATTGACATAACTTGAAGAGTTGCAGCTGAAGAGGGAATTTAGAAAATCTAAAATTAACTGTTGAAAAAAATATTCACTACTTGTACAAAATAATTCTGATAATTACCGAATTTCACTATTGATGTGAGTGAGTCAAACTTCACTCTAGAAACACTAACATCATCCAACATCTGCAGGCCAACAGATTCACTAAACCTATGAAGTAAATCATTGCAATTCTTATTAGTCGACTAACAATCTTTCTCTTGCGTAGGAATGCTAATACTTACAGAAATTAAAGAGACGCTCGTCTGCTAGGCTGTGATTCTAAACTAAAATTTTTAGCTACTAGCATTCGAATCATTTCATTTTATTTTTTCATAATATTTCGGCTTAAGTTTTATCAAGTAAGACTTAAATCATCTTACGTTATATTTTTCCAGGTGTGTCTGTTGTTGGATTGAAAAAACGGTGCTTCCTTTCGGGAAATATCGAATATTATCTTCTCTGTTAATTCTTCTAGCTTTTTTATAACTTCCTCTCTATACGACAATGATAAAGAGATATTTTAGCYTAAAACTGAAAACATCAAAATACAACTTGACGAAGTTAGTTTTTGATTATTTTCCGTATCTAATCTTTCGAGCGAAAAAAAAACGTCTTTTATTTACCTTGTGCAATTTTTAACTTTGACTACATTGTGGTTCTTTTTATCAGGGTAAAGTTCACGTAATTGTTCTATTCTCGTAGAAGTTAAAAGTTGTTTTTTCAGCCGGTTAATGTTGAACCAAAATCCGTCACCGACAGCCGCCATGTTTGCTTCCCCATCATGCGATGGTCGAGATAAAGGTATCCCAACTACGCACTTTTRCAAGGTATGTTTGTATGTTTCCAAGCCATGCATGCATGGTGTCAGAAGTCAATAACTTGATGTGTCTGTATGTCCTGCCAAACCATGCATAGTGTGTCTGGATGGGTGTGTATGTATTTTCCGCCATGCACGATGTGTCTCTATTTTCCGCCAAACCATGCATTGTGAGTCATGTTTGTATTTCCCGCCAAAAAACGGTGTGTGTGTATTTTGCGCCATGCACGGTGTGTCTCTATTTTCCGCCAAACCACGCGCAGGAGTCTGTATTCCCCGCTAAAGCTATTCAACGTGCGTTTGTGTTTTCCGCCAAAAAACTCGGTGTGTTTGTATTTCCCGCCAAAAGCTCGGAGTGTTTGTACTTCCCGCCAAAACATRRWAAGTTGRTTATGCCAGTCCGTCCTACTCTCTGGTAGTGKCGGTTACGTCAATGAGTTAAGGTAACAGCCTAGAGCGGTATCAACCGCACAAAGAGCGGCGTGTTTTTGACATTGTAATCATCCTCCATAAATACGGTCTGATGGAGCACCGTACCTTCATTCAGACTCGAACATCACAAGAGTAGCAACATCAATCAGTCGTTAAACCAACACCATGTCTACAGTTTCTGCTGTTCGACCAAGAGGGTCTTTTCTAATCGATGATCTTCTACGAGACACGCATGACRCTAACAAGATGCCCGCTGATACACCAGCTGTAGTTACCACAGGGTTCCCGAGATACTGCTTTCCTCCTATTAGTAGTTGTGGCAGCAGTAGTAATAGTGATGAAGATTCTGCAGATGAAAAAGGTTYGTAATATTGTGATTATAACGAGTTCACGATCGATCCATCTTTCTTAAAATGCTGATATYTATTGATTTATTTCTTATTCCAGATACAACAGAAAGTCCTGACCAATCAGAGCCTTCAAATGAGAACAGAAAGACCAGACCATCGTTCGCACCCCATAAAGTAGCACGTCTCAAGAGCATATTCGTCCAGAGAAACTACCTGAGTAAGCAAGAACGACGACATCTGGCACTAGAACTGGGCATGACTGATGAACAAGTCAAGACCTGGTTYCAAAACAAGAGAACAAAACTGAAGAAAAAAATGGCCGAAGAAGATGAACACTACGCCAAGCTGCTCTACCTGAACGACCTGATCAACGGTACATCACCTGACCGTCACCATGACTACCAAGTTCCACATAGTTACCATGGCTACCCATTAGCTGGGTATCCAGGCCTGGATCGATCATCTGAGTACAGCGAGAGACTGGTATCGACTGGAAGATTTCCTTATCTTCCAAAGTATTAGATATTATTAGTTAACGATTTTGTCAATAAAACTAACACTACAAGAAAAGATACCATGATAGTTTGTAAATATTGTAATGCTTTAAAAARTTGCTTAGCTTAATAATAAATATTTTTGTACAGCCGAATGAAAAATGTCTTTTATATATTTTGTTTTGTTTTATTTTATCTTATTCTAGAGTGCAAACAATATAACTGTGAAACTTTAGTAATACTAAATTTCATGCAAATTCCATTGTTTTCTATTGTTTAATTAGCACTATTTTGTACTATTTAGCAATTAGTGTTTCACGGATTAATTGTTTGCACTCTATTCGATTTTATTTTATTTTATCTTATAATTAATTTGCATTTGAAATGCAAYGTATTTTTTTCTCTTTGTAGAAATCTTAATTGCTTTTTCAAAAATCTCAACATCTGGCGATGCTAGCTAGGACGAAAATTTTCCCGSCATTTCATGTGCAAGATTGTAGATGTTGGGCTGCCTGTGGTCAATGCTAGTAACAAAATCATAATCTGTTATCGTAATTCGTAGTTTTTAAATGCGTGGGATTCCTGTGTCTTCTTTATCATATTCAACCTGTTGCAGGTGGGAGAGGATAGCACAGAAATCACGCCCTTGACAGGTGTCAATCTTACTCACAAGACTGTATCCTAGTAAGCACTCAACTAACGATTTGATAGTCTCGTCAGGATCCTAAAATTACAGCTGACACTWGGTGGAAAGAGAGTCAGAGCTCTAAAATCGCAACCAAGATAAATGACATCATGGCTCTTAATCTGAAACTCCAAACAACAGACTTTCTTTGTTTTTCGGGGGAGAAATTTCAACATTCATGTCCTTTTTGTAACGAAATTTCATCCTCTTATTTAAATTTTCCTTCGACTTCGAGGAATTCCGTTTATCGTTGTTTATTTTATGTACAAATTGTTCCTAAATCTTTTCTAATGGTAAGATTACGATTTGGGAGTTATTTCGCCTATGGTAAGGGTGGGAGTGTGTGTGGGATCCATCGCGGATAAACTTCGTGGTGTTCTACGAAGACCATCTCGGAGAAGCAAAATTCTCGTTGCTTTTACAGCAATTCTCGTAGGTAAGAACTGAATCATTGGATTTTTATTTATTTTCTTATGTTGCACCTTCTATTTTATCGTGTCAATATTGACTACTTGCATTGATTAGGCTGTCAAAATAATTATCATATTTTGATCCGAGAGAACAGCAGGAATTTTTTGTAAAACATGTTTCCACTTACTCAGCTAGTTTTACAATTTTTACTTTTTTTGAATGACATCGTTTTTCATCTGTTCCATAACATATACACGGTAGCCTGCTGACAAACCATTTTTTATCTTTGTCATAAACTAAGGAATAAAGGATATTGCAATACGGAACTACTTGACTATCTTATTGTATTATATTGCTCATTTATTTATTTTTCTGTTAGGAATTTTAGTCTGCATTTTAAGACCTGCAGTCGACATTGAGCCAAACGAGTCGTCGCCGATATCAAGAGACAGGCGAAGTCCAGTTAGTCACGTGGTTCATGGGAATGCTCATTTGAAGTTCCCGGATGAGTATCATTCTATTGGTACTCTCTCGTTACCTTATGGAGATATTGTGGAACCTTTTGAGGTCTGGTACTCGGGATCTCGAGGCATGAGCAGGATTGATTATTATGGAGGTCAGTACTGTCAGCGTTATGATGACCATGATGATAGTGGTCGTTTTGTTGTTGATGATGATGATCCGTATCTATCCATCCACCTTACCTACTACTATTTTCCTTCCTACGTACCTTTTGTTTTTCCTCCCTTCAACACTGTTCTCCGTTCTTCCTTTTCTCTATCCGTCTGTCCATCCATCCATCCGTCTTTCCTTCCTTTCTTCCTTCCTTTTATTCATTCATTCAATCCGAGTATTCCACTGTTTCTACGCTTCTCTCTATTTCCCTTTATCCATTGGTTCATTCATTCATCAAAGTTATTACCAATCAATATGTGAGTTGAGTATTGATTGCATCGATCGTCGATCAGTATACTAATTTATTGTGAAGAGAAGAAACAATTACAAAGTTTATAACGAGTGTTAATTGTTTTCTCAAGGAATGGATCGTACTTATCAACGCAGTGATCTTGGTAAACATGGATTTGCCTGCAAGATCGTACCAGAATTCTCTGAACGAACAGGAAAAACCTTCAAAGGTTGTCTTCATCGACGAGGAACCAATAAATACCCAATCAAACCACAAAGCATCGTTCCATCCTTTCGATTCTTTAAGGTTGGTTTAAAATATTATCCGGTTACTTCATCTTACACGCTTATTCCAGCAGTGCGCTCCCATCCTATTTCAGACCACGTGTCATTCCCTAGAGTATTATTTCTTTGTTTAGTGGTTGCACATGAAAAGACAAATGAATATGGATACAACTTAARCTTAAAGAGAATGGTYTGAAATAGGAAAGCACTCTATTCCACTCTAAACTATTGCATAACTAGTATTCATTGTTAACGTAAATTTTGATCTTTTCGATTCAGTTTGCAGAACACGTTAATTTCCGAGGAACGCCTTGTATCAAATGGAAACACAGTTTCAAAATCTACAACAAGATAAACACATACACGCTGTACACGTCAAGGTCACTGCCGTACTCGCCTGTACGTTACGAGATGATGGGATATGACACGTTACTGTCCTCGTACTATGATCACTATGTGCTGGAGTATCATACTTTTAAGCCCTGGTCGTTCAATTACTCTATTTTTGAAATACCTACAGGTTAGACTAGGAGAAAATAATGCAAATGTTTTATGATTTATRTRACGTCCTTTCTAAATTTAGAAACAAAGCCGGTTGCTTACTACAATGATAGGTGGTTAGTATGAGGGATAAGAAAGTCCAYGTAGCAAGCAGTTGRTGTAATGCATTCATGAAAATAAAATGAATCGCACCAAATGCCATAGATAGAACGACAATAGATTTTCTGGATACATTACATCAATTGAGTGCAGGTCCTCCCYACGAGAGATAGGCACTGARGGTGGTCACTGCAGGGTTTCTTTACGCCCTCAGTAGTTCTYTTACGTCCCTCCGATATTGGTTAGTGTTGATGAAGAATGGAGAGGTGGGACTGCCATTCAAGTGTCATCCCAGCCACGTGAAAGTCTAAAAGTCTAAAGAACCGTCCATTATTTATTGGGKGGAGGGGGGAGGGGGGATGGAACACGRARCGAAGCATAGTTCTATCAAAAATATCCATATAATGCTGAATTAAATTCAGAGTATTGCAACTATATACTGTATACTAACTGATTGTTTCTTCGTTCTAGATCTTAAATGCTTCGATTTCTCTTCGAATCACTTCGTGGGGGGCGTGAGTGAAATCAACCCAATGCTAGAGTTTATGCCCCATACCGAGGTGAATGGCAATTCCCCTGTGACGTCRCCAAGCCCGAGACCCACACAACAGTCCAACCTGGACTCGACTGAAGACTCTTTGAARTTCCTATTAGAAGAGTTACAAAAGATGCCTGTAAAGACGAAGGAGACTTTAAGAGATTTTACAACCAAGCCAACACGTGGACAAACAATCAAGCCACACCCTAAGAGCCCAGGCCCCTCTGACCTAGTGATACGTAAGAAGGTCCCGGATAAGAAGAGTAGTTACCAGGCTACTTTGAAACATTATGAAGACATTTTGAATCATCTGTTTGCTGGGTTCAAAAAGGATTTTAAGAAAGAGTATCGATCAACACACGAGCATGAAACAAGAAAAGATATTTACAGRCACAATATGAGGTAATGCGTTATCTAGAATTTTCATTAAGAACGGATTAAGTTTCTTTGTTTTGGAGTGTTTTTCTCATRTTTTAAATTGCAATAACTTTGTTTTCTCTAACTGAGAACTTAACTCTTTTATTCATTGATGGGTTGCAAGCATTTCCTAGAGATGTAAAAGACAAAAACATGGCGGCCATTGTGGTACCGTTAACAATGAATGCTAATGAGAAATCTTTTGTTAAATGGTACCAACATGGCCGCGATGACGTAACGTGTAAACGAAGAACATCTAACATTTTTATTTTAACCTTATTGACTTGATAATAACGTTCAGGTAACGTACGATTAAACGTCGACTTTTTAATAGATTTTCTTAATTTCATCATTTAAAAACGATTATAGCTAAAAGTTAACGGTAGTTACCTATAAATCTAAATTTCCATTCCTGCTGTTCTCATAACAATGCGAACTTGCCCGTTGCAATTTGTTTTTTCACTGCTTTCGACTATCAAAAATATGAAAGGTACCGACTGATTGGTTTTGATTGACGGCAGCGAAAAAATTTATTTCATCGTGCAGCTCGMAGCTACCGAGTTTGCATGTTTATAGAAATAGAAGTAAGATATCAAAACTAATGTTCCTCGCTTTACTTATCATTTTACTGTAGGTTCATAAAGTCTCGTAACCGTCAACACTTGACGTACAAGTTAAAGCCAAACCACATGGCAGACTTGACCGCCAAGGAGATTGAAAAGAGAAAAGGTMTACTTCACGATACGAGTGACGGCAGTGGAAATGGTGGGAAACCGTTCGTGCTGTCTGAGAAGGACAGAGGCGTGGCTTTACCTAAACACGTGGATTGGAGAAAAGCGGGTATTGATTATAGATTATCGTTATTATTATCATTCAGCATCATTATAACTGTTTTTCCTCTTTTGTCTAGGTGCAGTCAGTCATGTCAAGAGTCAAGGTATCTGTGGTTCATGTTACGCGTTTGCTGTGGCTGGCGCTTTGGAAGGCGCATATTTTATCAAGGTGAAAAACTGAAATTTGAAATTTTGAAATATTTGACGCTACCTTTCCTAGGATTGAGTGTTCAACTTCTTCAAGGGAAAAGGAAGCAGGCAAGGATACAAATAAGCAAACAGACAGACAGACAGACAGACAGACACCCAAACAGACAGACAGATAGACAGACAACCAACCAAACAGACAAACAAACAAATAAACAAACAAACACTAAATTACAACATACACACAAAACACAAAGAACAAAGATGGAAGCTATTTCAGAGATTTTCACTGACTTATTTTCTTTTTCTTCCAGACCGGCACTCGATTGAATCTTTCARAGCAACAAATCGTTGACTGCACATGGGGTTTTGGTAACAGAGGGTGTAAAGGAGGCTATCCCTATAGAGCCATGCAGTGGATACTGAAACATGGTGGACTGTCTACCACAGAGAGTTATGGAAAATACTTAGCACAGGTACTGAAATCTGATTGGCTGATCATTAGTATCGTCACTCTCATACCTTTGGCATAACATTTAACCAATTTACCCCACGTGTCATTCCCTAGAGTATCATTTCTTTGTTTAATGTTTGCACATGAGAAGACATATGGATATACATATGACACAAATAAATAATCTTATTCTCAAGAGATTGACACGGGGTCTAAAGTGGGAAAACATGACGCCCAAGAGGTCCAACTTACTTATTCCAAGTCTCTTATGAATTTATAATCTTTAACTTCCAGGAGGGTTACTGTCACTTTAAGAACACAACAGTCGGTGCTCAGATYGACACATACATGAATATAATCAAGGGAAACATACCAGAGCTCAAGAAGGCTGTGGCTTTCTATGGACCAGTCACAATCCTCATCAACACGCAGCCCAAATCTTTCAAGTTCTATGGCTCAGGGGTTTATTATGACCCTCAATGTAGTAAGTGGGATACCTGTGTTTTTTTTTTGTTTTTTTTTTTTTGTTGCTTGTCACGCCCGTGCTCATCGCTGCGCATGCGCGCTTTAAGAAATATTTTATGAGTGACTGTAAAGTATGTAAGGAGGTAAAATGAGATAAAGATAAATTGAATTAAATTAAATTGTGCCTAATACACTAATAGTTAAATGAAATTTGGAATATATAAATTATGTATTTTTTTGTTTATAGCGCATGCGCTGGACCACGCCGCACTTGCAGTAGGATATGGTGTAGAGAAAGGCGTACCGTACTGGCTGGTGAAGAATTCCTGGTCAGAAGTCTGGGGAGACAAAGGCTACATCAAGATCGCCATGAAAGACGATAACTGTGGTGTGGCGCAGAAGGCAGTCGTGATAGACGCCAAACCAAGATAGACGGCGGTG